CAAACATTCGATGTGACAGTTAAATTTTTAAAAGTTAGGGTAAAACTAAACAAGGGCATAAGTGTCAACTATTGCTGCTGCACTGGCCTGTGATGAATGCAAATACTCTCATGTGTGCGCAGTTCTTGATGTACTATGTAATATAATAACTGCACCTCCGGCAAGTGCGAAAATCTCGCGGAGCCCCACTCCCAAATCCAGCGCCCATGGGTCGGCGGAAGCGGCCCCACAAGGTGCAGCCGCCGGCGGAGCGAGTCGATCGAGAGCCGGTAGGCGGAGAAGTCGACGACGACTCCACGACGATGAGCCCACCAAAGGCGGAGATTTCGGCGGCCGGCGAGTGCGAGGAGGTGTCGGAGGCCGACGAGGAGGATATCGGTAGACTACAAGCACAAGGGACGAGCTCCTGGACCTCCTGACCGACGCCTGCCTCCGTGACCCTGCCCTCCTCGCTCGCGTCGCCGCCTCTGCCGCCTGCGACGCCGCGCATCGCCGCCTATTCGTGCACGGCCTCGGCTCCGGCGCCACCTCCGCGGCGCTGGCTGCCGCATTCGTCCCCTTCGGCGCCCTCGAGGAGTGCCACGCCGTTGCCGACCGCGCCACCGGCCGTTGCCGGGGCTACGGCTTCGTCACCTTCCGCCGCCGCTCCGACGCGCGCCGCGCGCTCGCCGATTCTTCCAAGTGCGTGGACTGCCGGCCCGTCGCCTGCCAACTCGCCTCCCTCGGCCCCGTTGCCCCTTCCTCCTCGTTCTCCGACCGCAAGCTGTTCGTGGACAACGTGCCCGAGCGCGCTGGGCGTGACGACCTGAGGGTGTTTTTCTCCAAGTTTGGTGAGATTGAGGAGGGACCCCTCGGCTCTGACCGCGCCACCGAGCTGTTTCGGGGCTACGCCATCTTCGTCTACAAGACGCCTGAGGGCCTCAGGAAGGCACTCGATGAGCCCACCAAGGTGTTCGACGGGTGCGAGCTCCATTGCCGGCTCGCGCACAGGGCGCGGAAGAGAAAGCAAGCCCCTGCCGCACCCGCGGACAATGGTGACCAGAGCAATGGAGCAGCTGCTACCTTGCCCACTGTCCAGCTCCAGTCCGAGGACACTGCATTGACACCCAAGCCGCCACTTCTTTGCTCGAACCCGCAGATTCGGCTGATGACGAAGGGGAGTAGCTCAACCACAGCCTCAGCCACTGTTGCCTTTCGTCGGAATGCCGCGGCGTCAGGTGGCGCTGGTATTCTTGGTGCGGCGCCTGTGGCCACTGCTGTTCCCTCTTTGCCGGTTCAGAGCACGACAAGCACGCCTCCGGGTGGAGGTGTATTGGGGCATGGTGGATTGAGTGACACTTCTAGAGCTGGTGCTTCGTCCATGGTTCCTACAACAATTGGGGCCACGAATTCACCATCATCTCTTCAGGTTCAGGGACCAGGAGCCCTGAAGGATAGCTGTTTGTCCTCCATGGGCCTTTCCACTTTGGCATCCCGAACTGGTCAGTGGTCAGCTAGACCAGGCTTGATCCAGCATTACCTGGGAAGATAGGTAAAAATAACGTGGCATTTTGGTAGGCAAGGATTGGAATCGAACATGACACTGAGTTAATCAAGCAGGGACTCGATGCTAGTACTTTCTTACTGAAGCAAGGAACTGCAACCTTGGTTAGGTCCTATTCGTTTCGTTGAAATTTGGCCTAAGCTGCTGCTTATGCTGATTTGTTGCGAGAGGAAAATATTGTTCGTTGTTGTACTGCTGAAAAGCAACGAACAATATTTTTCTCTCGCAACAAATCAGCATAAGCAGCAGCATAAGCCAAATTTCAGCAAAACGAAGAGGACCTAACCAAGGTTGTAGTTCCTTGCTTCAGTGCATCTCATGATTTTTCAATTAGCATCCAGTGATTCTTATCACAGGAGAAGCTATTGTAAATTTGTGATATCTAGTCACTAGGGAAATGCAATTTTGTAAATAGTTTAGTTTGCAGAGCAAACACGCCATCTGTAAGACTGTTAACTGAATGCATCCTTTCTGAAAAGAGGGAAGGGAAACCTTGGACTTGTTTATCACTGTATCTTGCATCGTAGAATTACTTTGGTTCTTATTATCTCTATCTGAAAGTTACTCTTGTACCAGTGATTTTTTTGTAATGCTGCATAAGCTTTCAGAGCAGAACTCCATGTTTAACTGGATGCTTGCAGGATAGCAACCTTGAGAATATGAGCAAACACGAAAGCTCGATGTAGCTATGAATACACAGTGGCTGGTGTTACTGTTACAGCAGGCCGTTGATGGCCCTGTGTGTAAATAGGGTTTTTGTTAGGTTTTGGTAGAGATGTGAACTTCCTCATCCGAAATTCCCCCTCTTCTAAACAGGCTCAGGATGATAGGGAATCCTGACTAACGTTTTGAGCATCTTTTGTCTCAACCCCGGGACATTGATGAACACATTTGAAATGGCAGGTGCAAGAATCCATGATGGCAGCGTTTTGGGCCGATCTGAAACTAAGGTCTTTATTGGTAATGGCAATATGACGGCGTTTTGGGCCGATCTTTGGTGCGGCACTCACACCATGATGGAAGCTTTCCCACCTCTTTTTAGTCACCCTAAAACCGAATCTTCTGTTGCTGAAGTCCCTGCTCTCCTCTGTTAATCACTCAGTCTGATGCACCTGACCTATTAGAGTTTTCAGAAGCAATGGAAAACCCCCAAATACGAAGCATTATTATAATCTGTGCTTTGATTCCTTTGAGAACAATGCTTCTGCACCCACCATCTGTAAAAAACTTGGCACCTCAAAATGTTTTTTTTTCTGTGGTTACTCCATAGACAAATTCCTTTGATAATGATACTTGTGCACCCGCCATCTGGGAAAACTTTGCACCTCGAAAATGTAAATGACTCCATTGACAACGACCGCTCGCCTTAAGGTCAGTCTCAATAAGGTTTTATGAGATTTTATGAGCATTAAATAAGTTAACGTGTCATAGTATTAATGAGTTTTATTGGGATGAAACTTATCTACGTTGTTTCAACAGTGATGTAAAATACCGACTGAAACTGACCTACCTATTGCCGTCTCAGCTGATGACGGTTGCCGTTGTTTTCCTTAAAAAAAATAATCCATGATGAAAAAGCCGTGTCGCTGAGCGGCCGTAGCCCGTAAGTTCTTCTGTTCCTCTCTTTCTGATTGGATTTTGGTTGCCGCTTGTTTATGCGAGCACGAGGCTACAGTTCCTTGTTTGAACTTTCTCCACGCTTTGCGCTGAACCTTATACACATAGCCTGTTCGTTTGGCTGTGGCTTGTTGTAAACGATCGTAAATTTTTAGCCGAAACAGTATTTTTCTCAAACACAAACCAACCAGCCGCACTTCTTCACGAACCAGCAACAAAACGATCCAGCCAACCAAACGGGCTGACAATCGTCCGCGTTTATTCATCAGAACCTGCATATTTCAGTTGAAAAACCAAAACGATTGTGATCACAACATTATTTTGATTTTTGAGCGTATTCATGTTCCATTACCTGGCCACAGGCCACAGCAGCAGAATCTTTATTTGTTTTTTTTAATGTTAAAAGAGCGTATTTTTTAAATGTACTCCTAAGTCGCTGTTGAGAGTGTTGACCAAAGCAGCTAGAAAGTGACAAATTTCAGCGTGTTTTGGTTCACAGACCGATCTGATCCGGCATGAATTGATCTGGCTTGAGCTCGTCCGGTCTTTTCGGTGGAATAGACTCGTCCGTCGTACTAGTATATGGCTTTGCGGAACTGCTGCGTGGAATGTCCTCGTGACGGATCAGTTGAACTCATCCGGCAAACCAAACACGACAGGTAGGTTCGGACGGTTCCGCCACCCGTAAACCAGACGCCCTGAGTGAGGCCAAAAAGAGTGTATCGTAGCGTAGAGTAGGCGTAGCTCCAGCGCGCACAGCACAACCCACTTTTCTGCACGGGCGTGAGCGCCGCCAGGGCCGTGGCGCGAAAGAGGTGTTCGATGAAATGCCGCTGCGGGGGTGCTCAGTGCTTACATCTCCACGGCGTCGTTTGGCCGGTTGTTCGATGAAATGGTCCTCGCTAGCTGTTCCACCGCGGCGGCCGCGGGTGTCTCGGACCTGCCCTGGCCTGGGTGCGCCTTGGTTCGCCGGGCAGGACGGCACATGCGCACGGTCCCGCGCGCCGCGCCGTCCATCCACGGAAGGGCAGAGAAGCCAATCAGCCATCCATCTGGGTGGATCGTTCATGGATGATTCGTGATAGGAGTCGAGGACCCATGGTTGCGTTTCTGCTCATCAGTCATCAACATCCTGGCAAAGGCAACGCGCTTTTGCGCTTTAGGTATTTCTTCTGTTCGGCGGGCATATGCTCCGCCGTCACTCGGTCCACCGGCCCTCCTTCCTGTGCTCCTAGAGGCCGCCATCTGGAGGCACGCAAAGAGGGAAAACCCTGACGACGCCACGTTGCGGTGATTCTGTTCTTGGAATCGGTTGGGGGCCATTACCTGACTGGTGCCGCACTCGTATGTTGGGCTGGATTAGGATTTCATGGTTTATTCCTTTGATATCGTGTCGCTCCTGGACGCAATTTCAGTATATTGCTTTGGGAATTGCTTTGCTCTATGGTGTTGGTGGAATACTGGAATCGTTAAGCATGACTGGTGGTTTGCGAGGCCGCTCTGGATTCTGATGCTCGGTGAGGTCACTAGCATCGGTCTTGATTGAATTAGTAATCATTTTATGTCAGGTGGTAAAAACTGCCTCCTAGGTCGTAGCATTGCTATGCACCAGGAACATACAAAAATCAATGCTGAGTAGTTTTCCTTATCAAGGAGGCAGGAACATATAGTTGGCATATATTTATCACATTTCACATGGTAAGTGAAATCATTTCTAGCATAGTCAAATCTTGTACAGGTGGGAAAGTAATCTAGAAATTAAGGTCCAGCGCTTACTACCCATTCGGTGTGCTTGGTCTCATTCAGAATTCCGTCAGTCCTCCTGTAGAGGAGGGTTATTCTAATATCTAATATATCGTCTGCCACCGCACCCATTCTCCCTTTGGCAGTTGAAGAACACTGAGGCCACAGGTGGTCCTAGATTATAGAGTGCTATGAAGTCTCTTGTGTTGAAATTTTGCCTCCATCCTGGCGCATAAATAGTTTGCCGGACAGATTGGCGGAATAGTACAAAGACGAAGCGGTGTATTCCAGCACTTGGCTTTGGACTTTCATAGCTTACCACCTCATTTCCTGAAATATAGTTTGAATAAACCTATCAGAACAAATTCATGCAAGTATCATATGTGGACTTTGCAAATAGATAGTCATGTTGCACAAGCCTAAGGCAGTTATTCAAATATTTATCTTCAACAAAATTTGTAAATATGTCAATATAAACTGCTTAGTGTGATATTGTCCTAGTCTTTGGTAACTAATATATGAACCTTTTCATCAGTTACAGCTTGCATTATTTGGGTTCTAAAAAAGGCACAGCATGTTTTGTTTTGTCATTCTAGGTTGAAACAAATATTCAAGTAGGGAATGCGAAATGTAAGAGGACGGCGGAACTCACCATAGCTCACATTTGTTGATTCTGGAATATCTGTCACCAACCTGCATTCATGAATTTCTCCGTAAGCAATTCGTTTGCTTTGTTGTTATGCAAGAAGAATATGCAAGTGATGGAAAATCACATTCATCACTTATGTTTCAGGTCTTACCAGTGAAGGTACTCTCTTTTCGTTGGATTGCTTGGACTTGGTGAGTCGGGATCCACCATCACCTAGTGGTAAGTTTGTTATCTTCTTTAGAAACATAAGAAATGATGCTTCATGTAGATGTGATTTTACTAAACCAAGCAGTAAATGGTGTGGATCCATATACGTTTATCTTAAAATGACACTATATTTGTCTGTTTTCTAAGGCAATTTATGTTGTCCTTTTAGATTAATATTAGTGTATGATTGGATTCTGAGCCATCTGAGCTGTCAATTTTTTTCAAACAAACTGAAGTGTGGTGAACTTTATCTATTCCAATGTTAGTGGCTTCTGTTAAGGTAAGATATTTAGATTATTCACATTTGTTGCTGGAGGTAATCATCATGGTTTTAGATTCCTAGATACTAGGTTGTTGGATGCATATATATAATATTGATTTTCATTCAGTACCTGCAAACATGCTGGTATATTTGTTGACACTAGATAAAAAGAAGACATACTTCTCAATAGATTATAATTATTTTTCCAATCAATACAAACAACACCCGAATCTGAATTCATGACTTTCAATGATCTACAATACTGAAAGCAACGTCCATAAGGACGTACTCTGAATTGTTACATTCCTGTTAAGAAGTGTATTATGTTTCGTTTGTACAAAAGACACTAAGCCAGTGATCCGATTTGGTTCCTTAACTTGAAGAATAACATGCACCATGCACCAAGAGCACCTTGTTTCACTTTGCAACAGTGTAAATCAAAACAAGTTTTACTTTGTACTGTGTTATGCTGTGAACTTTGAGTGAAATATCATGAAATATGCGTAAAATCGCAAGAGACTTTATGAATTTCGGCTATGTTTCCTGAAGTTTCATTTAGGTTCTATGAAACTTCATGAGTTTCTGTATCCTGATGATGTTTGATGTCCCTAGTGTGAAGTGATAATTTACCATGGTGTAAAATAAAATGTGAGCTAAACCAGGTGCAAAGGAAATACAGTTTACATGGTGCAAAGTCCAATTTACTCTTATTTAAAATTAGCATGCTGCGATGAGGTAACATGTGGTTATGGACTCACCAAAGTGTAAAGGGTCCTCATGTCATGTCCAGCAATCTCAATCCTTGGTTCATTGGCTACTTGCGATGGCTTGAGCTCAGATCCATTAGTCAGTTCCCTATTGTTGTATAGGACTCTAAGTGATGCTGATTTGATAAATGGATCCAAGATATCTCCAACTACGTTGCCTACGACAAGTGGGTCCCTTGACATGGTTAGCTACGATTGGCAATTCAAGGCACGCTTTACTTGGCTTGAAGTCTGAACTTGGGTGAAGTGAAGGGTGCAGGCTGGTACTCTATATATACTCCCAGTCCCCAATGAGGACCATTCATGATTACTGACACTATTAGCTCTAGACGCCATGGTATCTTGCTTTATACTGTAAAGAATGATATGGGTTGCCATCACCAGAAATATTTTGGGCTGTCCACCCTCTGTGCCTACACCAATGGAAGGAGTGCTCACTGCAATTCCACGCAGGTGAACATAATCTGATGTATCACACTCACTTATTCCCTATATATCCAGAGCCTAATAAATAGTTGTTCGTAGCGAAAAAAGGAGATTGCCTTTTGACCTATATCCTAGACTGACGCCTTATGTTCCTTTGTTTTCTCCTAGACATTTAGCCTTGATGGTTGCTATGTTTCTTTGTTTATGCATTGCAACGAGTTGAAAAAGGATGATGTATTGATGGTACTTCAACAGGGATGAGCATACTATACGGTAACAGTTAAAGGTGGTAGGGGATTTTCTTCACAAATGCATCAATTGTTTGGTGTCTGCTCCTAAGATAATAATTACAATATCATATACTCAAGAGCTATTTTTTGTACGAATGTATGCTCTATATCATTGCATGGTGTCATCTAGAATTCAGAATCATGTAAAATTCATCCTGCAAACACTAGACAGGAGCCTCCTTTAATTAACGATGATGGTGTGGGTCATCAACACTCATCTTATCAATTGTGAATTGTGATGCAAATTTTCCTTTGAGAAGCATCTTCATTTTTCTATCTTTGTAAATCAGGAGGATTTAAGCTTTATTCTTCCTAATGGTGTTAAATAAGCACATAGACTGAATGCCTCTTTATTCAGAGCAGTTGGATACTGTAAATATGATAATGATAGTAATGGATGCTTTTAAGATCTATTCTGATTTGCCAACACGAGTGATGGTCAAAGATAATTTATTCCAAAATTTGTTTATTTCATAAAAAATGTGCCAGTAAATGTATAAAGCCATATATGATAGTTGATAGATCCATTTCCTTTTGCCTCAAAATTTTACTGCCCTTTGTTGTGTTTGAATATTATAATGTTATCATAGATCACGCTGTGTTTCAACCTTTCCGGATAAAAGAGGCAGCAAGGCTGTGATAGATAAGGTTTACAATGATATCGACTAGTAAGGGACCACATCGAATCCTGTTTTGTTCTTGCACTTCACGCAAGGTTTTGTGTGAACTGTATCCTTCTGATATTACAAGTACATTCTCAGCTTACTTGCACTCTGCAGGTAATCAGGTATCCAAGTTTCAGTTTCTGCACCAAAAAACTGAAAGGTTATACTACCTGCACTGGGGCAAGAAACTCAAATTCGACCAGAGAAGCTCTGCTTTGCCTTAAAGGTGTTGTTAATAAATTAGGAAGTTCTCTCCCGATCCCCAATACAAGATTTTCATGCCACTTTGGTGAGTTTCGAACACGTGACTGAAAGGGTTTACTTAACATCATGATGCATTGAATATGAACGCCAAAGTTAGTGGAATGACTGGAACGTATGGAGCTCTTGGTTCATTGCACATTCTTGACCTTGGCCGACGAATAAAGCAGTGTCCTGAACAGAGCAGTGACCATTCAGGTTTCAGAACACTTTTTCTGACGTACGCAACAACCATCGCGCGCATCCGCATACAACATGAGCATCCTGGCCGAACTCTGAAAACAACGACTGCTCCCAGCCGGGCCAGCCCAGCCGCGGTTTCAGTGTTCCTGGTCTCAGCCAGCTTCTTGCTCAAAATGAGGGAAGTGCCTACTGCCTGAGTGCCTCGTGTTGTATACCTTCGTCATTGTATTATAGGCCGGAGCCGGACGACGCTGATCTAACCATCGCTGTCGTTGCGCGGCGATAGGATACGATGCTTATTTACAGCGGCGGGCCCACAAAATATTTCAAGAGGGGGCTAAACAACACTGTTGTTCGATCTTAAATTTCAACCCCTATACTATAGAAATTTGTCTAAAAATTCATGGGGGCTCCACTGCTTGCTTATTTGGAAATGAGCCATGATTCTAATTAGTCCATCACGTGCGCCCTCGCGCGCGCCGGCAAATCAAATCACCTGGTTAAGGTCATAAATTTGTCTATGTATATACGATAAACAACAATAATAAGGAAAAATAAATAGTGCCAAAAGTGAAAGAATGGCTACACAAATTGGAGTGAAAATAGGAGATAACATAGTTTGTTCGCAACAATGTCCCAAACCTGCAAACAATGTGCCTTCTAGATTAACAATACATGCATAAGTTGTGAGGGGAGACATTTTTCATTTTTTCCCAAAACACAAATCGTATGTGTAAGCAAACTACATCCATACATATAGAAAACAAAATCAAGGGATCAGAGACATAAGGTGGCAAAGGAGATATAGGGGATTTTTTTAGGTTACCGTAGCAGGACCAAGCAAGGTCAGGAGGACGAAATAGAGCAGAGGATGCAATGGATCAAGGTCTTCGGTCAGCAACGGGCCGATCCACGACGCGGCGGGTCGGGTCACAGCTGAGTGCGGCCAGCGTCGTGTGAAGCGCTTCATGTGACCGATCTTTGCGGCGGGCGTCAGCCGCGCGCCTATGGTATGGCGATTGACGGCTCCTCATGCAATGGTGCGCCGTTCGATCCGGCTGCATCGAGCGCTTCCCGCACCGCACGATGCGACACCGATCCAGACGAGAAGGGGAGAGGCGCGATAGATCGAGAGACGGAGAGGCACCTAGGGTTTCTGTTGCACAGAGCAAAGCGCAACAACATCGGTAGGAGACCGCGTGCGGGGGGGACCAGCCGGCGGCCAAGGGGGGCTACTACTCAGCTGCGCCTTGGGCGGGCGGCGCGGGCGGTGGCGCACGGCGCCAGCCGCTGCGCGCCCGACACCGCTTCATGCGGTGCGCCGGCGGCACGGGTCCGGCTAGCACGAGGCGACGCGAGGGGGGGGGGAGGAGGAGGGCGAGGGCGGCCGCAGCCGCAGGTCACCGCCGGCGCGAGCCACCGTCGCCCTGCCATCGCCCGTCGTGGGAGAGAGGGAAGAGGAGAGAGGATGGGGAAAGGAGAAGCATCTAGAAGCTGAAGCAGGAGGTGCGAATATATTCGTTTGGCCGGATTCCGACAAGGAGCCGGAGAAGTCGAGCAGAAGCTGAGGAGAAGCCGGAAAAAACGAGGAGAAGCACGGAAAACCGCTTACGACGAAATCCGCTACAATAAATCTGAGACGTCCAACGCGAGATCGAACGGCCGGGACAATTTGGGGTGACGTGGACGGCGCTCTTGGCGGCAAAAGCAAACTGCTTTGATATATTAGAACACGAGCACATTTTGGCGGATGCATGGCGGCTAGATTTTGCAGACATGATGTTGAGATTTGATTCCAGTCAAAAGGGAAGAAGGTGGTGTGCCACTGCTTGCTATGAGACTGAAGATCGAGCCACATGCTCTGCGGACTGTGGCTAGCTACTGTGTAATCATCACTCCATTGCCCGTGTCCACGTTGCAGCACAGAAAACTGAAGGCAGCAAAGTTGCATTGGAATGAAACCGGTCCCTTTTGCCCAAAAGCCCATCAAATTGTTCCTCTAGATCTATCCTCGGATCAGTTGAAATCCAAAGAATCTAGCTACTAGCATCAGCCGCGCACGCTAGCGTTATACGCCGCGCGCTGCGATTTCAAAGCCGCTTAGCACGATGGCACTAATAAAATCGACAGTAGATGCGCAACAGTATGATATGTATGCTTCTTTAGTTTCTTCATATCAGATTTGTACAATGATATGGTACATATACGATGCTCGCATGCATCGCATAGCAATCCGGCGTCAATCCTCGTCACCCAGCACAGTGAAGAAGAGTAAACTAACAAATTAGTCTCCTCAACTGAATTGTTAGGCGAGCATCACGCTTAGCTTTCCAATGCAAGTGCATCTCTTGAAAAGGCGAGGAATGTGTGCAAAGCTACACGACGATGGCCGAAAGATAGAGGAATGTATGTGAAGTTGGAGTAAACTAATCCTCGCCGGCGGCAACTTGCCATCAACGATGACTTGCTCCTTGCATTGCTCCAAATGTGCGTGCAACCTAGCTAGCTAGTCCAGGTTGAGGTCTCAATAATTCAGATCGATTTCACAAAAATGGATGGAAGAATCTGCTGCTCACGTTGGCAAGAGACGCTCGCAGAGATCTAGGTTTTGATATGGTGAGGATGAAAGATACATATCCCCTCTACGTAGTAGTATTATGTTGTCTTAGTTTCAGTCTCCGTTGCAGAGACGACTAACTGGTTTTTGTGGCAGCGGTTTTACGACAGGCAGGCTTAGTAGACTTTGTTCAGGAGCCGATGCATGAGCAAATCTGTCTCTTCGATGGTACAAGGAGACCGGCAATTCTGGTCGCCTTACGGTCATCAAATGCATGCCTTTATCTATCTTTAGCGTCTTTAGTCTAGGTAGAAGGGTTGCTGATGAACAATGGTAAGGGAATACACTGAACCTCTGCTAAGAAGGACAACAACAATGGTCATGAGATGCCTTGATGTCCACACGAAGCTGCGTGCCCGCGTCTCATGGACAATCAATATATAGAGATAGCATCTCTGAGCTGATCGAATAGCTGGCCTAGATTTTTGCTGAAAACACAGCGGATGACAAATGCTTTGTTTTTTTTTTTCACATTTCACTAGTGACTAGTCACCACAAGAACTAGGAACAGAGCAAATCTGAGGAGGGTGCACTAGCTTACTTGTGGGTGTAGGTATTTGTGATGAGAGTGCAAATTTGGTGAAAATTTGGCTTTTATCACTGCATTTTTAATTTTTCTGACTACAATATGGAGTCAAATAATTTTGAATGAATTTTGTGGATACAGGAATGCCCATCTTTAATTTGAAATTATCCGTCTCTAGTCATGTTGAGACAATTTACATCATATTAGATATGGTT